GTTTCGTTCTCTCCTTTCAAATGATATATTCAAGAACTAGCTAATAACTACTATCCTTTGCACTCGTTTAGTTTTATTTTTTCCTCTCTTGTTGTGCTGATACGAAGTGTAGCAATTTGAATCAAGACACGTTTTCGCCTGATTTTACGTCGTCTGGGTTGGACGGTAACCACTAAAATATATAATTTATCCTGGAGAAAAATTCAAATATTGTATAGACAAGAAACAGTATATACATCATTTAACGACCAGAGTCTTAATAACGTTCGGGACTACCTCAAGTTTCACAAATATTTTTCACAGTTCAGTTAGCATTATTCTTTCTTTATTTATTTATTTGGACACATGAATATTGGTACAAGAGAGCGCCAATATATATGCGCCACACAGAACAATGAGAATTCGAAGAGAAAAGAAAGGTAAGGAGCGTAAAAAAAGAGAGAACAATAACGAAGAGATTGGTGTAAGGTAATGTGCTAGTAATCAGGGAACGCAAAGGTACAATCAGAAGAAATCTTTCAGGTAAGGGAGACACAACCACTTTTTATGAAGAAAGTAAAAGAAGGTTACAGCATGATCGCCACTGGCTTCTATTCTGAGCCATATCTGATAACGTCTCTAGCCACTGTGTAGCGCCATCTCTCGGACCCCAACCAGGGAGTCGTGAAAAACCGACACAAGCCAGTCCTTTGCAGCTTTCTTCCATACCACGACACCATGTCATGCACTGACCACCTCTCCGCTTCCTCCAACCAGTCCCAGAGTCGGCAAATAATGCACGACATGGAATTCTCTGGGACGACATTCGGAGAACATGTCCAAGCCACCGAAGTCGGTGTTTCAAGATGGTGACACCAATTGAATTAGCACGAACACACGATGCCGAACCTCTGCATTACTGACATGGTGTTGCCACTGAATGTTAGCAATCCTTCGGAGACAGCGATGATCGAACACAGAGAGTCGTCTAACGTCCTCAACTCGGAGAGACCAGGTTTCACAAGCATAGAGCAGAACTGCTCTCACCGACGCGTTGTAGATCCGAACTTTTACAGCCAGACAAACATCACGAAGGCGCCAAAGATGGCCCAGATTGGCATAAGCCGCTCTGGCTTTCACTATACGTGCATTGATCTCATCACTCACACCCCTACCAGCACTTATGCAGCTACCCAGATACACGAACTTCTCGACTACGTCTATCTGCTCACCATCCAGGGTGAGTACAGGATTAGAATCCTGCCAGTCTTGTAGAAGTGCTATGCACTTCGAAGGTGCAAAGCACATACCATACATACGGACACTGATTGCCAACTGATTAAGTGCGGATTGCATGGCTTGGGCATTATCGCACAGTAAGACAATATCGTCCGCATACTCAAGGTCGAGAATTCTTTCTCCAGGCAACAGATCCACACCGGTATTACTTACATCCATCAGAGCTGTTTCCAGAATGTCATCGATGGCAAAGTTGAAGAGGAATGGTGAGATTGGGCAACCCTGCCTAACCCCACTGCTCGAATGGAACAATGGAGAAAGGTGGTTGTATGCCCTCATTCTGCCTGAGGTGTTTGTATATAGGGCTTTTAGGATGTTAATAAACTTCTCAGGCACACCCTTCTTCAATAGACAATCCCAGAGAACAGCCCTGTCCAACGAATCGAAGGCAGCCCTGATGTCAAGAAACACTACGATGGTTGGCCTTTGATAAGTATGGCGGTGTTCTAACATTTGGCGGAGGGTGAAGATATGATCAATACATCCTCGACCAGAACGAAACCCAGCCTGCTCCTCGCGAGTCAATTTTTCTCGAGTTTCGAACAACCTACGAAGTACGATAGGAGCCAATAGTTTGGACGCAATCGGAAGTAGACTTATCCCCCGATAGTTGTTGCAGGAACGACGTGAACCCTTTTTAAAGATAGGGACAACTATCGACTCATTCCATGACGTTGGTACACTCTCTAGTTCCCAAACCTTTGTAAACAACGTCGTCAATTTCTTAGTCAAAAAGTCACCACCATCTTTAAAAAGAGCCGGAGGTAAGTCATCTGGGCCAGGTGATTTGTAACGCTTCAAGAGTTGGAGTTCCTTGCGGACTTCCTCCTCGTTTGGTGGATCAGTCGTCACCGGTCATGGAGGGCAAGACAGTCTGATCGATGTTGCCGGAGCAGCAGGCCAGTTGAACTGCCCTTCGAAAAATTCTGCCCACCGTCCAAGACGTCGATGGATGTTAGTGATTGGCATCCCACCATCCTCGCAGATTGTTTCACTCACACCAGACTTCTTGCTGCCAGTGGCTCGGATGAGCTGGAAGAGCTTCCGGTAGTTACCAGATGCAGCTGCTGCTTCCAGCTCATTAGCACGCTTCGACCACCAGGCTTCTCGGTCCTTACGCAAGCTTTGCCCAATTTCCTCACGTAACTTCCTTCGTTTATGGTCAAACTCACGGTCACCCGGAGTAGACCGACGGGCTTCAATGAGTTGTAAGGAACCAGAAGAAACCCAGTGCTTAAAAGCGGGACGTTTCGCAAACCCACAACTGACTGTTCCCGCCATTTTCATGGCGTCATGCAATTGCAACCAATGCTCATCTATACTTTTCGGTGGAGTAGTAGCTAGCCTAGAGGCTAGCTCGGTTCGATACTTACTTGCAACAGAAGTTGCAACCAACTTGCTGACATCAATCTTTTGGTGGTGGTCACTTTGTTGTCCACTGAAAAGTAAGGCAAGATTGGCGCAGACCAAGGCATGGTCAGAGTCCAGATAGGTACTCCAAAAGGAGAGGCAGTCTTTTACACAACCACGCCAGCGGTAGCTGATCGCGATGTGATCAATCTGAGTCCAGGCTTGGGATGCAGAGGGAGGACGCCAGGTGGCACATCGGCGATGACTGTGCCGAAAGTTAGTGCTAGCCAGAAACAGGTTGTGGTCTGTGCACAGTTGCAGTAGACGGTACCCGTTATCTGACCTGCGACCAACGAGTCCCCATCGGCCACCTAAACGACTCTCTTCTGTGCCTAGACGCCCGACCTGAGCATTCAAGTCTCCGGCTAGTACTACAATATCTGTCGAACGCACTTTCTGGAGAAGAACAGTTAACTGGTGGTAAAACTCATCCTTGATTGCATCCGGGCTGCAATCTGTCGGGGCATAGGCGGAGATGACGAAAAGACATCGTTTCTCACGCCGATTTCTTCTCACTTTGATGGAACTTTCTAATCTAACAGCACATAACCGACTGTTAATGGGGATCCAATCGACTAGTGCTGCCTCAGCTCTAGCGCTTAGTGCGACACCAACGCCTGCAAGACCAGACGAAGATGCCACAGGGTCCCCGGATAAGCGCACGTAGAACAAGCTTTTCGAAGCGACAGATGAAGAGCGAATTTGTAGTACTTCGCCAGAGTCTTGAATACGGGTCTCGGATAGACAACAAACATCACTATTAAGGCTTTCCAAAGACATAGCCAGCCCTATCTGTTGTCTGACCTGCATAAGTGTGCGAACGTTGAAGGCAGCCAGTTTGAATGGTGCACGTGGTTTCAGAAAAACTGCTTCAGTACTTATATTCGGTGGTAACATACAATTTTCAACTGGGCAGTGACTCGAGAACGTTTAGATACAGTCGGATTTCCACCAAAGACGAGCCGCTGTATAAGTATAAAGAGGGTGAATAATGTGGAAAATAATAATAATGATAATCATAAATAATATAAAAAACAATAATAATCATAATAATAACGACAATAATAGCAATAATAATAGTATTAATAATGACAATAATAGTAATGATAATTATTTGAATCGATTGATTGTTTTTCGGAGCGAGAAAAGTAGTTGCCATAGACATAGAGTTCATCGTTTGTGTGAGGGCTGTGATACTGCCCGGGTGCCCAAACCGAAGCAGGTGGTTATCTTAGGGGGCCACTCCCCGAGCCGTTGACCTAAAGGTCTAACCCACAAGGCAGTGGAGCATCGTAAGGAGATGCAATCCCATGGTAGCCGGTGACCAAAGATTGGTTCATACGCCATTTGTCCCCGCAGGATACTGGAGCCCATGTGCACCATTGATTTGGAATCCGGTTAAAGCGCCGGACATTCGCTTTTCGTCCTCTCATTTTCGTAAACAACACCCCCGCCACGAGAAGGCAGTGAGTAGGACTTCCCTGGCAGAGGCTGTATACGCGCGGCCGTGTGAGAGTATTTCGAGAGGGAGAGCGGACTCACCCCACTCTCGGCCGTACCAGGGCATTCGGGGGAATTATTCAGATTAGTTATAACAACTTCTAAAATTTACAGGCTGTATCGTGAAATGAAATTACTGTCGAAAATTCGGAAACCACAAGGAAATTACAGTTGACTGACTATTCTTCTGACAGTGGTGATTATTTATTGTGATGAATTTCACGACAGATGCTACAGAAAAGAAAAACGAACTGTATTACCGCGAATTCCCAGATATATGGACATAGGATACATTTCCACTTCCTAAAGTGCCTGACTAGCGTATTCCTAACATGAAGGCTTGAGAGTTACCTTGTATAGGGGTCCACAGGTAGATTATATTTACGTACTTTTAGTTTCTTTAATAAAAATACTTAAAATAATATCGAAACTGTGAGTCGATAGCCACAGCTGATGTGTATTAACTTAAATGTTTTCTCCTCACAACTAGTTTTTAACCTAACTCATACAGAAACAATGGGGTTAGTCAACTACTTTGCGTACTAACCAAATATCCTACTCAAATGAGGAGGTGCTCACTATATTAAACAAAAAAGTGTATTGCTTTCTTAACCATAAAAGATAAACATGATAAGAACTTTAAAAAGCTGTGACTCATTATCGTGGCTAAGACTTGCGGTCATCGCATACACGTACAGATATTAAAGTTGCAAAACCAAGTTTCTTCTAGTTACCAACACCAGAATATATATATATATATATATATAAGCAACTTAAAAACGATCATTACAATTAAAAAGGTAGTAGCTTACTTTTTAATAAATTTATATATGGAAATAAAGTAGATGAATGCTGCTAATAGTATTGTTGAAATGAAAATCAATCGTGATATATTAGGGTTTCCTTTAGTGTTGCGTTTATTTTCCCCAAAACTCAGAGAACGTCTATAAATTAAAAATTAGAGAAGGATGGATAGAGAATAAATTATAGGATGTCACTTAAATATTTATTACTGTGAGACGTCTAGATGTAACTGATGATTAAATATATATAACTCTGAGTTCAAAAGGAAACTACAAATACACTTAACTTATTCATTACTTGCTGCTTGAACTTAATATGCTATGGGATACGCTTACAGAAAATACTAACATTAGTTGTTGCTAACAGATTACTTATAAAATCATTGGGATAAACTTAGACCTTAGGCAGGATTCAGTTTAAGACGATGGGAACTATCATAATAACTAAACATGAAAGCTGCAGATAATGGAATAGAGTTCATTTAAATTTGAGTTATACTAGATCTTTATTCTGATGAATAATCACTAAGATGACATCAACATTGTCCACGTAAACAATAAAAACAATATTTATAACAGTTGAATTTACGAGTCGGTCCGTCAGCTATAACGTAGGACCAGGCACATATATTCATCGATCCAAGTTGCCATACCGCATTAACACAACAAGATAAACACCGAATTCATAGAAGTACTTACTTCAATGGTAGTAATATATAAAATAAAGATTATGTATAAGGATATAATACAGGAAGAGAGAAAGGTATAAAGCAATTTTAATCTCACCGTTTAGGGGAAGAAAAAGTGTGTATGCATCGATGCGATTGTGATCGACTCTGGGTCATGTTACACAGTCTCCAACTACTGTTTACAAAAGTTGCGCGGACCCAAATCAAGTAGTCTGCATCTACCAGCATGGTTTGACCGCCCCTAACTTTTTCCAACCATCCCCAACACCGGTTAGCATTGCACGTCGTGGTAATCGGTGTTCAGGCATACGTAGCACGTGGCGCACGCGTCTCAGTAGATGAATATTCACAATCTCATCAACCGATTTACCATCATCCCCTAATACCCAGTGCTTAACCTCACTATTACTTACCCGGTGATCCCAGCAGATGCTGGCAGTATTTCTAAAACATCTGTGATCAAATACTAGCAACTTACGAGTATCTTCTACTCTTAATGGCCATGTTTCGCTGCCGTAAATTAAGACAGAACGGACTGCCGCGCAGTATACTAGTCCTTTTATTGATAGACGGATATCTTGCCTTCGCCAAAGGTGACGCAAGTTGGCAAAAGCCAAACGAGCTTTTCGAATCCGTGCTGAGATTTCGTCAGACACCAACCCATTAGGGCTGATCAGACTTCCAAGATAGGTGAAGTTGTCAACGCGTTCGACTACTTCACTCTCTATCCTTAGTTCAGGTGTTGACGCAGACCAGTCCTGAAGCAACGACTTGCATTTAGAGTGGGAGAAACGCATCTCAAACATCCTGGTACCGTTGCTTGTTGCTATCAAAAGACTCTGTATTTTATCAGCGTTTTCACCAAGCAGGACTGTCATTTGCGTATTCGAAGTCGATAAGTGGACTTCCTAGAAGATCAATTCCTGAAAACCCAGTCGACGAGAACGTTACTTCCAGCAGTAGGTGTATTATTAAATTGAACAAAAATGGAGATAATGGACAGCCTTGTTAGACACCAATTAAGGTTACAAAATCAGATGATAGTTCGCCATAAGCTGACTCGACTAGTAGTATTCGAGTAAAGAGCCCTCACAAGGTCTACGTTGTTCCGCGGTACACCTTACAATGACAGACACTGCCACAATACCTCTCGATCTACAGTTAAGTGCTGCTTTTAAGTCAAGAAAGACCACCGTTGTTGGACACCGATAAGTATGTCTGTGTTCTAAAATCTGACGAATGGTAAATATGTGTGGGGTGCAGCCACGACCAGGTCTGAAGCCGGCTTGATTCTCTCGTGTTTGCAGTTCATGAGTCTTAGTTACGCGTTCGATAATTATGGAGGCTAGTATTTCCGATACTATATTAGTTAAACTAATCCCTCTTTGGCTATCACAGGACGATTTTGTCCCCTTCTTATATGTTGGGAAAACCAGTGATTGCAACCAGTCCTGAAGCAACAACTTGCATTTAGATAGAAGTGCATCCCAAATATTCACGAGTCGATCCAAGCTAGACCACCATTGGAAACCTGGAAACACTAGATGGCCGTTTCAATATAGTATGGGACTCCTCAGTGGTGCATATCCACGCTCCTACACGCGTAAGTCGAGCCCAAGACCTTCTGTCTCTCGCGCAAACGCTTAACCTTTGGATTACTGAGCCGGCATTCAATGAAGTCAATGTATAACTTCATTCTATCCATGATCTTGCGCAAACCTTCATCCATTGTCTGGTGCGGACAACTGTCTCACACTCGACACGGATTGAATGCCGGTTCAATGGTTTAGGGGTTAAGACTGAGCAGGAGGCCGAAGGTCCTGGGTTCGAGCCCCACGTGTGGATCATGAATGAGTACCGCCATGGAGCCCCATACTAGGTTGAAACGACTGTCCAGTGCTTCCAGGTTTTCAATGGTAGTCTAGCTTAGATCGACACATAAATTCAACTGTTAAAAACACTACAAGCTCCACAACTCCCCTTACTGATAATAATTATATTAATTTTTTGTACTCAAACCTTTCATATGTTCAAAGTTGTTACCTATTAATAAATGTATGTGGTTCGGAAAAAAGACCATAACGTTGATAACACAACATGAAAGTATATGAATATCAATCAGTGACGCCTACAATTTCCACCTCCGACAGTTCCATTTGTCAGATATTTGAATCTGAATACGCGACTAAACTGACCAGTTACAAAACTTGGTCATATGCCTAACATTGATGGGAAAGTAGAAACTGGATCACGAAATAACATCTTGAATGAAGGGCAATTGATAGTTACGGAAAGGACTTAAGATAATATTTACAGATTAAATGGTATTACTCAGTCGGCCATTTAAAACTAAAAATACTTTCTTCTAAAAAAGAACATTATTTCTAATTATTAAAATGTCCTCTTTAAAAAAAATAAAAGGTTTTCATCCACGCGATCTTTGCGTGAGGACTAGAGAAAATAACTGAACACTCAAACATAAGTAGACTTAAAAAGGTTCAAACTAGTAACCAGGTGGCTGAAATCCTGGCAGCCGAAAATTGTCCTACATACTAAACAAAGTGTAGGCTATTAGTATAAACTTACAAGTGGTAATTATAATTACGTTCCCAATCTGAAACATCATACTCATTTGGCGAGTTAGTAAATAATAGTTTAGCTCTTGATACTAAAGAGGAATCGTAAATTCGTCTACTTCTCTCTTGAGAGAGAACAGAGTACGCTTCGTTGATCCTTGTAAACGTCTCAATATCACCGTCATTTTTGTCAGGATGATACTGAATAGATAACAGATTAGAAAAGTAATTATCAGCTTACTTTTTTTGATAGTTCGATAAAAGCTGAACGAATTTCACTATACGAGGCGGATTTTTTAATTCCTAACGTATCATAATGTGTTTGAGATGAAACCAAACGGCGAAATTTATACAAGAATTGGAAACTATTTGTTCGGTGAAGTCCTGTGATCATAGATAACCAGGTTTGACAATCATAGTACGCACAAATTGAATACTAGCTCGACTGAAATGTAAAAATGATACTTATTACAAACAAAGACCTGAAGAAAATCATAATTTACATGGAGAAAGTTACCTGTATCTGTCTGTCAAATGCGGTCGGTAGAAAGTTGTGTGGCTGGTGATACTTATTACTGATATGGATCTAATTTATTTGTTATTTATTTTAACATAGATATTGGTACAAGGAGGCATCAAATACATATGCGCCGCACAAATCTTATTTGACCCTGAGTGAAATGGTTTGTGAATCAATTATTGGTCGCCGGCCACCATGGGACTGCATCTCCTTTACCATTCCGCTGCCTTGTGGATCAAACCTTTAGGTCGAAGGCTCCGGGCGTGACCCACTAAGAAAACCACCTGCTTCGGTCTGGGCACCTGAGCAGTATCACAGCTCACACAAATCAAATGACTTGTGTGGCACGTTTGTATTCGGTGCCCCTTTGTACCAATATTTATGTGCTCAAATAAATAAATAAATTAAGTGTGACTGGTTAGTTCGGTGAGTAAACCAGGTTCGATTTCAAGAAAGAGCATCACTCCTACTAGATTCCAAGTATAAACTTAATGAATTCTAGTTCACTATCAATAGCTATAAGTAAATTCACTGAAAAAAAGATGGGATATCGTTAGTGAGCCCTTAGTCAAGTCGTCAAACAATTTAATGCTTTAAGGATTTCTAATTTCCGGCGGCGATAATTACGAATCACAAAATATGTTGTTCAGATTGGTGTTGATAAGATTATATGAGAAATTTTTTTAAAATGTGATATAGACTATGAGCAAATGCTAAATAACAGCAGTTGCGACTAAATATCCTTAGAAGGCATATGTAGTTCTAGGAAATAAATGTTCAAAGCTAAAGTGATGATAAACTAGTAGCGAAATTCGTAATCAGTTAACGGCCCTAAGGATTCTAACTTCAAAGACAAAATTCTGTTGAACAATACTGAAAGTTAAATGAGAATCTCATTACAAATTACTCATAATGACCATCAACATTAAGTTCATTTTACTCCTTTCATATAAGCTATCCATTGCTAAATTTAGTTTTATTATCACAACTTTTATACAGTTTCTCAGTCTACTTACAATACTAGTATTTTATTATTGTAACGATAACACTAACAATACTAAGTGAAGCAAAATACAGATCTGTAGCAATTGTACATTACGCAAATTTGTACCGACGTAACATCATTACTCATTCATTCTGTAAGACTGCCGTTTATTTATTTGAAAAGCCGATTAATTTGTATTTTAGCTGTTGGTGTGTTTCGCCAGTTATCAGTTAAAAAAAGGTTACCTCGCATAAATAATGAAGGACAGTAATTTGGTAAACAAAAGAACACTCACAACGTAGAATTTCCAAACGGAAATCTACTTATGAAAAGAGAAGTATCCCACAAAGTACGATTCTTAAAATAAGATTTTTTTAATGAGATTCCCATGTGCTCACTAGTGACAAGCTGCGACCAGTGGAGCTAGTCCGTGGCAAGTAGAGAAAGGTATCTACTTCAGTATAATGGAAGATGGTAGCGCCACTTCGTGGATTGGTTGAGGTTAGACATTAACACCGTTGGATGTCGGCTCAGTGGTCTAGAGATTAAGCGTTCGCGTGCGAAACCGAAGGCCCTGGACTCGAATCCCGCGAGCGGGACTGTCGATGCGCACTGTTGAAGAGTCCGACAATAGGATGAATCGGCCGTCCAGTGCTTCCAGGTTTTCAATGGTGATCTAGCATCAATTGGTTCATGATCTCAATCAAAACTTAATAATCTCCACAACCCCATACTGATAAGATTTTTTGCACGTCCACATTTCTTTTACTTCTGGTAGAAAATATGGGAGCTCAAGCCTAAAACATTTTGAGTCAGTTACATTAGACTAAACAGAAAATCGGAAAACTAGGGTGATAGTAATAGGATTGAACACCAGATTTGAGCATACAATGTTCAAAGATATCGACATTAATAAATACACCGTTGAAACTCGTAAATATATGTATCTACGCATAACGCTTTAAAGTAGCGCGTTAAACAAGCACCTGTACTAGGTAAACTTGGTAGGAAGGTCTATATCAATGTGGTATAAGCCTACTATATGATGAAAGTGGACCAGCGTTAACTTATGAGTGACTGGTAGTGCAGTCCGAGTTTACATTTAACTGATAATCGAATTGACTATCACAAATGAAGTTAATCAGGACTGCCCATATTTCTCTTTTTTATTCGATCTCACTGAAGTAGTAATATTGAGTTGAGGATTTGAAGTTGTATGTCCCAAAATCGATTAGTCTTTCGTATGCATTTACCCTGCTTCATTCCCTGAAACTCCAACATAGTATTAACTCGTAACTGGCATTCTTTGATTTTATTGACTCCTTTTGGGCTGCACGTTTTAGATATTTAAAGAAATTGAGATTCAATCCATTTACCGTTCTCTCGGTTTTTTCATGAAGTTTGTGAGCATAGTTTGCCAATTAATTGTAGAGTGGTAAACACTGTCTGAAAGAGGTTTCATGTGGCTTGTCAATGCTTATAACTTCTTAGTTCAACAATAGAGTACCCTTAGATAAGTCACAAGCTTTAGGTCCTTAAATGTTAATTTAGAGAATATTCGAATATTATTTTTTATCACTGCTAGGACATCCGTCATACTACTAGCAAGTGAACCTATTTATTATTATCATCAGTCGTGTGATTCACTTCATTATCAGTGATCGGTAAACTAATTTCATTGATTTATTCGTCATATATTCACGAAAATACCACTGCATACAGTTTAGAGAAAACATAGAAAACGTCTGTCTAAAAACAGCATTGTTCGTGAATATGAAAAGTCTATGCACTCTGCTTACGTCGAGTGGAGACTTTTTTATGGTCGTTATAAACAACTACACTTTAGGGCTAAGATTTGAATAAACTGACATGTCGGAAAGTCCTCTTCAATACTTCTTGGGAAACGACTGTTAATTTCAAGACATTCCCCTAAGATGGGAAAAATTCGCACAATTTATACCGAACTGGGGAATATTGCGACTATTTGATACGTTGTCATCTATTTTCACCAACTTTCCTTTAGGAAATCCCTAATTAATTATACCAAACAACCAATATTGGTTGTTCACTTGATTTTTCCTTTATATAAAGGAAAAATTAAGGTGAACAAATGAGAAATAAAGAGGTCGATGGGGTGAATGAAGTGAAAAAGTTTATTTTTCCCCCTGACATCAGTTACTTGAGAGAAGTCTTGACTCCCCGCCTTTAAGTCGTGTTTTTGGGGAAAGTTAATTTATAGGCATCTGAACATGCCGCTTACTGTATATATTTTTTAATAGATCCCTTAAACATAATATATCATTTCATCAGCAAAGAGAAAAATTTTCCTATACATATGTTCAAATGTGTTGACATAGGAAATTTCCTATGATGTTTAGCAAAATTATTCCGACATTGTAATGGCAACCACAAATGGCTTACAAATGGTTCACATGGTTGTAGATGGAATAGAAAAAGCTTTCGCTTAGCGCAATTCCGTGTTTAGTAGCAGCGGATCACCAACACCTCCAGGCACGAACCTAGGTATATTAACGATAATAGAGGAAAAAGTAATTGGTAAATCATAGTAAGATATTATCCTTAGTCCTTAAGAATAGGTCATGTTGCCTCTTAAAGGACTCCTGAAAAGTCGCTTGGACTAGCTCAGTCGACAGCGAATTCCATCGTTTCACAACTCTTGGGAAGCAGAATTTGTGGCTACAGTCCGTTCTGCTGTGTCGTGTCTCTAGTTCCTGGGTGTTACCCCTTATGTTTTTGTCGCAGGTAAACTTAATTGGGTGTTTAAGGGAATGTCCAGAAGTGTTAAGGATACTGTAGGCCATTCATTAGAAGATCACCTCTAAGACGCCTATACTGTAATGGGTAAAGGTTTAGTGACTGGAGACGCTCTTCATAAGGCTTGGATTCGAGTCCCCGAACTGATTTCATGGCTCGCCGTTGGATACTCTCCAAAGTGTCCTTCTCCCTTTGGAATGAGGGAGGAAATACTATGTTTCCGTATTCTAAATGGGAACGAATGAAACTGTTGAAGATTATGTGGAAAGTTCTTCCGTCAAACTGGCCCAAGATGCGCTTCAATGTTACCAGTGCAAGGTTTGCTCGAAAGGCATTTTTTTCACAGTTAGCGTAAGACTTGAAACCGTAGGGTAACAGAACTCCTAAACCTTTTTCGACTCGGAATGCTACTAGAGAGGAGTTTCTTAAGTTGAAACTGTAGTCTGCAAAATGTCTCAGATGGACTACTTTACATGTTGAAGTGTTAAAGGTAAGTCCGTTGTCGTCTGCCCAAATTTGAAGTCGGGTCAGATCGTTCTGAAGTGCCAGTATATCCTCACGGTTGCGTATCTCTCTCCAAAGTCTCACATCATCAGCAAAAAGTGATAAGTCTGAGGATACCTGTTGTGGAAGGTCGTCTATAAAAATTAAGAAAATAAGATATCCTGGTATTAAATACTGGGGGACCCCACTAGGACACTCCATAGCCTGAGAAAAAGTGAGGTTAACCCTGACCTCAGAATGTCAACGTTTTAGATACGAAGTGAGCCAGTCAATTAGAGATGATTTGATACCCAATCGTTTGAGCTTATTGATAAGACATATATGGTTGACCCTATCAAAAGCTTTTGATGAGGTAAATGACATCAACCTTCCTCTTGTGGTCAGGCATGATTGTCCGTCTGCCCACCGCGGTCAGCAAGTTGGTTAAACAAGAATGACCCTTCCTGAAACTATGCTGTCCTGGTGAAAAGAAATTTAAAGATAATAAATAGTCCTGTGTGCCGTCGCATATCGGGGACTACATAATTTTTGAAGGTATAGAGAGAATTTCCACCGGTCTGCAGCCTCAAGTTTCGCCGCGTCGGCCTCCTTTGTAAACTGATGTGAGGTGAGCCATCTTCCAAATTTCCAGTAGTTTGTTTCGGCCTGGTGATTATGGGAACATCACGCTAGGCGATGTTGCCAGGATTGAATCTGCTTCATTCAATATAGCACAGTGAGCCGTATTTGAGCTAGGAGAAGTGTCTTTTCTTAGTTGCTGCAGTTTCCGGAACGTTAAGTCAGCGCCCAGGTTCACTTCGGAAAGTTCTGTGCAGTTGTAGATAAAGCTTTCATCAATATAGTTAGTGTGGGTCGGTTGAACTGTCCGAGAGTACTGTTCAGTTAGAAGTTTAGCGGCATTACCGTCGTTATTGGTCGGGCCATTAGGACCTAGAAGTTGTGAAACTTCAGTTTCGGCTTGTCGACGGGAGGCTGCATAACGGTATAAGCCTTTCGGATCGGAGACAAATTCATCAATAAGCTTTATCTAGCACTGAGCCTGTCTCCTCTTATTGCCTTTGTGCATATGTTCCTCACATGTTTGTATTGCCTGTATGCATCGTTGTTATTAGTTTGCTTGTGTTCTGTCCAACAGTGAATTTTGTGGCTTAGCAAACGAAGAGTGCGGTTCTTGATGGTTGTAGGTTGTTTGTAGATATTGGGGACTATTTGAGGAACAGATTGCCTTGTAGCATATAAGAGAATGTGCAGCAAGAATACCCAAATGAGCGTCCACATCAAGTTGAGGGTGAGTTTCGCAATCCATTTGTTGTAGATAGTCCTGTGAAGCTGACACATTCAACCGTTTTAAATCCTAGCGCCTGTTGTTAGCGAGATGTCTTAGCTCAGTGTTGCTGATAAAACTGAAGGCTCTGACGGCGTGATCGCTTTTCCATAAGGGAGCCAGAATTGGGAGGTTGTCAGCTAGGAATTCTTCCTTCGTAAATACCCAGTCTAAGTGCGACGGAGTCCGACTGTTTCTTCAAAGAGTTGCCAGCTTCACATTTCCGAATAATTCCTGATCCTCATTGAGGTTGAAGAGCCGAGCTTCAGTTGAGTTTTCACCCTCGATATATGCATGTTCTGCGAAAACGACTTTAAGAAAAACTTCGCGCGAGATTCCTTAGGAATGTGTTCGGATGTGATCGCGCTCAGAATATCGTATTTCAGGCAGTATTCTTACGTTCCCATCAGATTTCAGTAAGTGACTAACTAGCAGGATATCCTCTACGTCGGTAGCATTCTTGAGTGTTACACAAAGTAACCTCGGATGATTTGATTGCTTAGAGTCCCTTCCCCCAGTAAGCCGTGTGACCGCCGAAGACTATATTCTGAGAAGTTCAAGCTTCTTATTTAACTCTCCCCATAGAATCCCTTGATGTTACTCCCGCAATCTGGGGGAAGATAAGGGCTGTCTTTAGGGTTCATGACTGTGAGAGAATCATCGCGAACCGTGATTGTCTTTCCAGGTTTTCGAGTGAGTTCAGGTTGAGGACATTGTTGTTTGGACGTCAAAGCGCGTTTCCGATTCCTAGGCTATATGATGACCGGATGGACATTCTTAGGGGTAGACTGTGCGGCTAAATCACCAGTTGATTTCCGTGCAATACTTGGGATGTTCAGCTTCTTAGATGGTGACGACTGGTCCTTTTTAACTTTGTTAGCAGGGATCCAACCACTTACAGAGTTTTTGAGAACCACCGTTGCGTTCAGGGCTCCTGTGCTGGGTAACCCAAGTTTGCTGAGGAAGTCTGTTTCCGCCGACGTTATGATAGTGCTAAGTCTCGGCATGTCATCACTAATGTTATTACGTGCTCCATCGATAGTAGCGCTGTCGAGATCCTTCTTTTTATTTCCATTGCGCGTCCTTGTTTGTCTACCCGCTTTATGACTGTCTTTTTTCAAGTTCGCTGGCAACATATTCCGCAGACTTGTCAACAGGACAATGATGTTACTCAGCAAAACTTAGGCATCCGTGTTGCACGTGGCACATACCCACTTATAATCCGACTTGGTGAATATGTTGTAAGCAGTTGCTGTGAGATTTAAGAATGCTTAATGGAATCAACCTTTGTCGTACTGCATGCCAGAGGTAACAGCAAAACAGTATCCAGGTCGTTTGCATGACTTTCTCATGACCATATTGACATAAACTGTTTTATAGATGCTAGCGAAAGCCTAAGACCGTAAAAAAAACAGCACACTAAAAACTGGCAAAAATGGATGTAAAGGGGTAGTAGAAAAGGTTAGGATACACTAAAACTAGCCTTCACATGAAAAACTGAAAGAGGAAATAGTAAGCTGAGGCAAAAATTATAGTTAAATATTAGGTTGGGTAAAACTCAAATATGAAAATAACCGAACAAACGTGTAGCTCAAAGCAGATTCCTTAGATCAGAACTAAAACTCTTGTTGCGTAAGAACAGAGCAGACGTTTGAGAAGTGCAAATCACGTTAAAACTAATCTTCCCGTTCGAAAAGCGCGTGGACATTCAAACAAGTGTAGTGCTCTCCGTTTTTGTTAATTACCATTAATTTGTATTGGCCTCCTTTTTATACGAGAACGCGACTGGTCTAATGGAAGGAATTATTATTATAACCAGTTGTACCAGTGATTGTTTTGCTTGTTTGTTTGACTGTACTAAATATATTCTTCCTTGCGTTGATTGTGACCTTGCACGAATTCGATTACTTGTACTCATTTGGCACGATCTTGGTATTCTTTCGATACACGAGATCGCCAAGAAATACATCTCGACTACAGCAATCAACTGCATTCTGATGTTTGAATTACGAAGTATCTCGTCGGTTAGCCGATACGCAGTCTTCCTATGGTGGTGATCAGAGTCAAACGCGACTCGACGCCGCACTACAATTTACATCATTCAACGCATGGTTTTAGGAAGTGTCATTCTTGGAAAGATGAACAAACATCCCAGCTTGCAAACGGAAGGTTTTTTTGTGTGAAAACCTGTCAATGTGTACACATGAAATTTGCTCCTATAAACCACTCATCCGTACATTTGCTTAGTTTGTTTGACTATATTTGATGTGGTTATATTCATATTTTATTATGATTTTTATTTTTCTTACGCTGTCACTGAGTTTCCACGTTTATCCCTGAACTACATCTATATTGTTTTAGTTGATACTTAGTTTAGATGGCAGCCATATTGGTTTGTTACCCTTTGATTGTGTTGCTTGCATTGACTAGAACTGTGCATTTTTGATTGTGAATTGAAACACTCTTCCAGAATTAGAAACACTCTGTGTTATAAAGCAACCAAATATTATTTTTTGAACGAATCTGTACGTGATCTATCCAGAAGGGATAGAATAACATTCATTTGTTGCGCTTGATTCGATCACTAATTGAACAACTATAGGTTGAATAATTGGGTGAACTGTCATTTACCCAATCATCTTGTTTTGGTCTCAACTGGACAATAGCGCGTATCTAAACGACTTGGACA